TTCCGCTGATTCTGGTGCAGGAAACCATATAGTCGCGAGGCAGTAGAATGAGAAAGGGTCTTAGGACCCCTTCCACCAAACTTCTCACCTGGAACTGAGGAGCAGAGACTCTGTAACACTAGAGACAAAGACCCAAAGCCTTGGCTCATTAGAGACAGATCTGAATCTGACTCTGTCATTGACTTGGTGTGTCATTTCCAAGCCTCAATTTCTCCATGGTTGAAATGTAAACTTAAAAGGAAGTCATAATGTTTTCTTCACTCACATGAGAGACGTATGTATGTTCTTCACTGCCAGATGCTGTATGTTGTTTTGTGAAAGTGGCCCAAATTCATTCATTCTATTGCCAGATACTTAACAATTTTCCCCCCATTTTTTCTTGGATGATGTCGTGCAAGAAAATAACTACCAATATAGTTTTATTAATACCATTTTGATATGACTGAACATGTGTTTGTAGAGAAAACTAGGGCATTTGTATTCTTGTGGGTGTTTGGTGAAGAAGGTGGGGGTGGGGCAGGGAAAGGTTCAGCAGGGGGTGGTTCCCACGTGCTGACACCCCCTGCCTCATCACCTAGAGCTCCTTTGAAGCTCTGGATTATTAGGCTCTTTCTCAGTTTACTCAATCAGTCTCTGATGATACCATGAATTTATATTTTTAGTGAATATAATTTCTGTTAGTTAGTTAAAGACTGGCTTATTTTCTTGTTACAGGAAACTGAAATATGTTTTTTAACAAGGCAGAGTGTATTTCTGTCACAGAAAGATGCTGTATCACGTACAAGCCAGGACTTGCATGTGTAGGTCTCATCACGTTATGAGGGAGAGAGGATTTTCCCCACGCACTGCCTCTTATTCTTAAGGTGTCACTTACTTTTATACCTTCAAAAAAAATGCTGAGATTCTCTTGCTTTATATACCTCCCAAGCAGAAAGAAAGAGGAAGTTAAAGGGCAAACAGGTACATGCTGGCTGAGTCAATCATTTCCAGAAATTCCACCCTACAGCTTATATCTCATTCTCCAGAATGTTTGTCCATCTGCAAGAGAGACAGGATATCAAGAATGCTTTTTATTTGAGCATGTTTTTGAAAGGGAACTGCTAAGAAAACGAAATCTTTCCCTGTTGAAGAGTCATAGACCTGGAAATGTCTGGTAGCCTGCTAGGCTGATTGATCTCCCAGGCCATCCTGGAAGATCTGTATCCTTCCCTTTTCCTGTGTCAAGAATTTGTATGCTAACTCACCAACTTTATCAATGTGAAGTTGTTATGTATAAAAGAAACTCTTTGTCTCTAGACCAGGGCTCAGACCTTATGGGACTACCCAGGTCTGAGACCTCATGCATGAGTACTAAAGCTTTCCTGACCTCACCATTCCTAAAGTATCACTTGTTCTTCCCCTGCCTGGGTAAAAGACTAGAATTTATTTGTGCAACATTATCACCCACATGAAATCGGAGCTCTATTGGTAAGAAATAGGAGCGCATGGACATTCTAACAGTTGCAACTACCTATTTCTGCTGTTCTTCTGTTGAGGATGTATTAAGACTCATACATATTTTTAAATTTATATTCATTTTTGAAATAGCATCCAATCTGCTCACAGTTATATTGAGTTTACCTCTTAAAAGTCTTCTGGAAGCTGTCACACCCCCCCAGCCCAATTCTCCTCCACCAGCCTAATTAAAAATTCACCATAACGCCTTGCTCCATGGCTCCCAGCACACTTGACCCAGCCCATTCCTCCTCAGCTAGTCCGTTTTATGACAGTCGCTGTGCAAATTTGACCGTGTCAATCACTGAATCCCATTAGCTCCTAGAATGAAGAAAAATGTTTTAATAAGGTCTACAAAACTGCATAAATTAGGATCTTGCTATGTCTCCAGTTTCGTTCCATAATATGCTTTTATCTCCCTTCTTCCCCCACTTTCATGAAAAGATACTTGTACCTACCAGGCAGGCTCACTCATTCACTTATTCATTCTTCATATATTTTTTTAACAACTACTAGGAGAGTTAAAGATCTCTATATTTTGAGATATTGACTATAGAGACTAATAAGGATAAGTCTGATCTCAGGATCATGAGGCCTTATTTGAAAAATAGGATGCCCGTGATTCTAATATAATGCAATGTGATCACGCTACACACACTTCCATATAGACAAGGTCATACAAAGAGCCGAGTGAGCGCTCTCACAAGGAGGCCGTGTGTATATTGGTTCTTGAAGAAGTGTTACAGGGCAGGGAGAGGGGCAGCCCAGACTCCGCAAACCTGCCTATTCTAAATAGGTTCTGCCATCCGCCGCATCAACACAAAACATATGAGACTTTAATGGGAAGGAACTTTAATACAATTAGGAAACAATACAGGACAAGCAAAGAATCTAGTTTCTAAATCAAGCACCCAAAGTTACCCGCCTCCTCATGGGTAAAAGTCCACCCAAGCGGGTTGGCCCAGAGCAAGGCCCAAAGCCTGCCACAAGTCTAAAGCGTCTTCCAGTGGGGACCCACAGAAAAGCATCAGAAACAACCAGACAAGTCTGGAAGGAAAGAGCAAAACCAAAATCAAGAAAAAAACCGCCATTGTCACCTCCCCACGGGTCTCACCCACATCTGTGTCACCCAGTCCGTGACCAAAGGGCAAGTGTAGTTTCTTCACTTGTGTCTGGGCTCCATGTGCCTCCTGCAGGTCTCCTTCTGGCTCCATCCTGCTTCATCCCTTCCTCAGTCTCCTCTGTAGCTTCTTCTCTCTCTGCTCATCTCCACCCTCCTTTTGGGTGGGACAGGAAACCTGGAACCTCCCCCTTTCCTGGGGACCACCCTGTTACAGAAGGACTAGAAATAACCTAGTCAAAGGTAGGGTGCTGTGAACCAGCCACAATAGCTTGGGTGTCAGGGGTTCCTGAAGGGTGGGACCGGGTCGGCGCAATTGTAGAAAATGAGTGAGGAGACGCAGACACTTGATCAGGGTGCGGACATCATCCTGCTGAGGGTCTCAGCAGCCCTTTATTTATACATTACAAGGTACATGAGCGTATGTTTTGGAGTAGTGAGGTAACAATCATCACATCTTCCTCTAGAACAGCCAAGGGTCTATTTGCCCTTCAGCAGAGGTTGTAACTTTTTATTTTTTCAATTTTGAAGCTACCGTATTAATTGTCACTGAAAGGGAACTGTTAATGAAAAGTAACTGTTAAGGAAAAGGAATCTTTCCCAGTTAAAAAGCCATAGTCATGGAATGTAAGTAAAAGACAAGTTGGCTTCCTTAATGAGCATATCTAAACAAGGCCTGGCAGCCTGCTAGGCTGGTTGTTCTCCTGGGCCATTCTCAAAGAGCTGTGTCCTTCCCCTTTTTCTGTGTCAAAAATTTGTATGCTAACTAACCAACGTTATCAATGAATCACGCTGTGCCATGTGCCCTCAAATTGGTTATTCAGTAATTGATCAAACAGCATTTGCAGTTTTACTTTTAAATGCGTATTTTATTTTTTTATTTTTTAAAACTCTTTTTTTTAATAGAGGCATGTTTTATTTATTTATTTATTTGTTTGTTTGTTTTGTTTATACATGCACTGGGTACAGTCAGAAGCGCGGGAGGGTGAGAGAATTCACCAGAGCCAGAGCGGGGAGCAGAGCAGGCAGAAGGACAGAAGCACACTGCCGAGGGGAGCAGCGGGCGGCAGGAGAGGTCTGCGCGCCATGTGGGACCCTCCGCCAGTGGCCGGGGAGCAGCCGGGGATCGAACCGGCGCCGCAGAGGTCACCGGCAGCTTCGCAACCCAGCGCTCAACCACTGCGCCACCGGGGAGGCCCTATTTTTTTTATTTTTTAAGATGTATTTATTTATTTATACAAGCACTGGGTACAGTCAGAAGCGCGAGAGGGTGAGAGAAATCACCAGAGCCAGAGCGGGGAACAGAACAGGCAGACTGAGAAAGCACACTGCTGAGGGGAGCAGCGGGCGGCAGGAGAGGTCTGCGCACCATGTGGGACCCTTGCTTGATGGCTGGGGATCGAACCGGCACTGCAGAGGCTGTAGGCAACTTCACAACCCAGTGCTCAACCGCTGTGCTGTTACAGGGCAGGGAGAGGGGCAGCCCAAACCCCGCAAACCTGCTTATTCTAAATGGGTTTCTTCATGTGTCTCTAGGCTCCATGTGCCTCCTCCAGGTCTCCTTCTGGCTCTCCATCCTGCTCCTTCCTTTTTCAGTCTCCTCTGCAGCTTCTTCTCTCCCTGCTCAGCTCCACCCTCCCTTGGGTGGGGCAGGGAACCTGGAAACTCCCCTTTTCCTGGGGACCACCCCTGTTACAGTGCCACGGGGGAGGCCCTAAAAGCATATTTTAACAATGGTAGAAACTAGCCATAAACAAATGAGGAGATTCTAGCAGGAGTCAGCTAACGAGATTCCTGACTTTTCAGGAATCTGCCCCATGCCCGGACACTTGTCAGACAACATGAGTAGCATGACTCCCAGCAGTAGGGGAGAGAAGAGAGAGTGTTCTGAGCAGAGGCCTCATCCTCAGGCTCAGGGGACCAGTCCAGAAGACATCTCAGATCATGATTTTTGACACTCAGTATACACTAAGATGCCTAAAACAGCTCACGACGTGGTGTGAACAGACAGGTGCTGAGACTGGGGAGCCTTGCTGGATTCCTAACTCTGCAGCATAAAGAGGGTGTCAGAGGAATCGCCATCGACTCAGCCTCAGGTACCACAGTCCGGTCTACAGAAAAGTGTGTGGTGCTTCCTTCCTGGATCTCTACTGCTCAGTCCCAGACACCCATTTCGCTTTTATGTCCACAACTTAAACTCCATTCCTGGGTCAACACCAAATTCAGAGATGTAAAGCAGACTGCAAGGACAGAAGGGAAACCACAAGAGGGCGCTGTTCCCTGCAGGTGGCGATTTGACACAAATTCATCTCCTTTTTACAGGCTGCTGTGTGCTCTTGCGGGCAGTTTGTCTTGCTTACATATGAACCAAGACGTTCTAGAAGATTCCATCAAAGCATCAGGAACTAGGGAAACGACCCTCTCAACTTGGGTACATTCCTAAACAAAACCTGTTGCTACCCCTTCTGCCAGCCATGCTGTCTACTTCCTGCTCAGGATTGATAATCCTGCTGATGTTAGGTGAGTAGCATTTATTCAAAACTCCAAATGTTCTATTCCTTGGTTGTGGTGTAACATTTAATCTCTGCCAGACCAGACACTATCCCTCTCACAATATAAGAAAGCCTCTGCCAATATAATAAAGCCTTTACCTTTATTTTTAGGAAGGACCAGTGGAGACTCAGTGATGCAGACAGCAGACCCGGTCACCTTCTTCGAGGGCACAGCTCTGACCCTGAACTGCAACTACCAGACCAATTATCCACCTTTCCTTTTCTGGTATGTCCAGCATCCAAACAAAGGACTTGAGTTCCTCCTAAAAAGCTCAACAGAAAGCCCAACGGTGTACAGCAACGGTTTCCAGGCCTCTCATGACAAGGATAAGAAAACCTTCCATCTGGAGAAATCCTCGGTGCAAGTGTCTGACTCGGCTGTGTACTTCTGTGCTCTGAGTGACACAGTGAGGGAGGCTGTGGGGGAAGCTGAGCATAAACCCAGAGGGCGCAGGTGGGGCTGACGGGAGCTCTCTCAGGGGAGGGTGCTCTTTTCCCTTGCCAGTGTTCCAGGCCACAGGCCTCCTCAGAGTCCTCCCAGCTCTTGGGTGACTCAATGAGAGAAGTGCTATAGTATATATCTCTTAATTGAAATAAAATCTTTTTTACACAATAAATACAGATATGACGTCCATAGGATGTGGAAGTTTTACTGAGTCTCTGGTTTTTCTAAGAACACTCATAAACTGTGTCAAAATGAAGAACTCTCAGGGACAAGTTTCTCACTATACACATAAAAAAGCCTCTGTTCTACTTCAGTTTAAGCAGAGTTAGTTTTAGTAGCTTCAAGAATTTCTAGGGCTTTCGAGGTACACCTATGTGGTGAAGCTGAGAGTGAAGAAAAAGTGACTTAGCATTATCCCCACTACTAGTGTTGAAAATATTGAAGAACAGTAGCATTTAAAACTTTGGTGAGGGGGCGTCCCTGGTGGCACAGCAGTTGAGTGCTGGGTTGTGAAGCTGCTCGCAGCCTCTGCAGCGCCGGTTCCATCCCCGGCTGCTGGGCGAGGGTCCCACATGGCACACAGACCTCTCCTGCCACCAGCTACTCCCCTCAGCAGTGTACTTCGTCAGTCTGCCTGTTCTGCTCCCTGCTCTGGCTCTGGTGAATTCTCTCACCCTCCCGCGCTTCTGACTGTACCCAGTGCTTGTGTAAATAAATAAATAAATAAATCTTTAAAAAAATAAATAAAATATATTAAATCTTATCTTCATTTTGAATTTATTTTTGTAACATATTAAGGTAGAGGTTCAAATTTATTTGTTGATCTCTAAATGACTCACCATTCATGAGGATACCTTTTATTGAATATACCATCTTTCCTCATTTTTATTATAACTAAATTTCCATAATTTATTTGTATATTTAGACTTTTTATTCTATTCCATTAATCTATTATCTGGACCAGTCCAGAAACATGCCTTTTCTCTTAATAAGCATTACACTTTGTTGCATTAACGGTAGAGGAAATTCCTCTCAATTCTGAGAAACTCGGGGCTTCCTTACCTGCAGTTATCTGCAGCATCAGATTTGGCCTCTAGAGGAAGATGCTACACAAATTGAACTTGGTAGGAAGCCAGAAAGCAACCAGCCTTTGAGGAAAAGCTCTTGCTTTACTTGTGAGCCAACTCCCTTTCCAAGGTGTGAGCGTCCCTGCAGCTGACTGGACCCAGGACGACCCTTCGATTTCCCTTGGACATGAAGCCTGGCCTCATCTTCTTGCTAGTGCTCATACTCACCCTTGGTGAGTAAAGTCTCTTTTTATCCTTTCTATGTTGTTCTGATTAAGAATCAGCCTGAAGAAATATTCCCTCCGTCTGATCCTGAATTGGTGTTGCAGGTGGAACAGGAGCCCAGACAGTGACTCAGCCCCGGGACCTCATCTCTGTCCTTTCAGGGACCCCTGTGCGGCTTGTGTGCAGCTACTCATATTCTGGGAGCCCTTATCTCCTCTGGTATGTCCAGTACCCCAAACAACCTCTCCAGTTTCTTCTGAATCACCTCTCAGGGAAGACTGACAAAGGTTTTATGGTCAAGCATGACAAGGGCACGACTTCCTTCCATCTGGAGAAAGAGTCAGCCCAGGAGGAAGACTCAGCCACATACTTCTGCGCCCTGAGTGCTACAGTGACTGGGTGTGCAGGCGAAGTGCAGCTCAAACCCCGTACTCCCAGGAAGTCTGTGATTCTTGGCCCCAGTGGGGTGTTCTTTCTCTAGAGACTGACATTGAGTTTAGATCCAGTACCAGCAGGTGTCAGTTAGCTGTAGATTAACCTCAAAAATTATCCAAGAAAATTCTCATTATTACTGTCTAAATTAGTTTTAAAAACAGTAAGTATATTTTTCTGTCCAGTAGTACCGAGAAAATACCTTTGAAATAAAAACGAGATTGCACAGCATAAAAATATTATTTCCCTGGTTCAGAGGACCTCTCAGCTCTCAAAAGTGCAGACCCCTCTCTAGCTGCTCCGCCACCCAGAGTACCCAATGTGCTCATCACCTCAAATCCAAGCACAGGTCCTTAGAAGGATGACACAGTTTTATGATGTGACAGTTCATCTTCTTGCATCTAACACCTTTCCTCTCATGCACTTCATGGATGCCTGTGATCTCAACTGTAGTCCAGTGAGGAGTGAAAAATAAACCCAGTAACTTGAACAAGGGAAGTTTAATGTAGAATTATTAGATAATAATAGGAAATCAGCTACTATTTATGGTGGAAAAGAACTCAAAAAATACAGGAATGGCCTATGTAGGGAAAACTCTTGTGTAAGCCAGAATTTCCAAGTAAATGACAAGCCTGTGATTCAGACCTCCTTGGGGAGGGTGTGGCTGTAGCCTGTGGAATGGTGGAGAAGTGTGTTGAGGGGCCAGCGGAAAGGATTGGCCAGGAGGAAAACATCTGTCAAGTTTCCAAAATTTATAGGAAGCTAATAAAGGCGTGCTGCTGAACTTGCTTGGGGTAGTTGTGAAACTGCCAAGAGAAAATCGGGGCTGTCTCTGAACCTTGCTGGGGGTGTCACTGTGTGTCCCACAGGCTGGGCAAACATTGTAGAAACATGTGAAAACGTTCTAAAACCAGAAGAGAAGACTCTTGTTCCTGCAGTATCCTTCCAGTTCCATCAACAGAGGAGTTGTCATGCCAGCTGGCAAAGGAGAAATGTTTCCAGGGTGCAGGACCAATATGGCAAATAGGGCAGTGATCCTTCTCTGAACACTTAACCCAATAGGGAAAGGAAACAAGAGGAACTTTTAAATACAGTGATAGGCACCAGGAAAATAAACACATTGTATAGTTGTTAGAAGGGTGGTGGTAGGGTGGTGGCCGTGGTGCTGAGAATGTAGCTCCCAAATCAATTTTACCTAACCTTTAAGACTATTCTGAGTCCACAAGATAGACTCAATAAAGGAACGTTAAATAAATTCAAGTAAGAATAACTGTAAAAAGTAGCGATCCTTTTGTAAGGGCCTTTCTGTATTAACATGACTTCATTGCCTTCTTCAGGAAACTCTGTCAAGTTAGTTAACTTAAGCAAGTGTTATTCTCATGTGGCCAAATGGCTGCTTGATCAGGATAACCTATTTGCTTAATGGAAAAAGTATTTTTCTCAAAAAACTTACCTAGGAACTTTGCCATATTTTTATCTACCAATCTTAAACTTTTATATAATAAGCCTTGCTGATTCAAAGTGGCTCTTTTCATTGAAATATACACACACCTTCAACAACTTAAGAAAACAGAAGCCCATATAACTGCCCCTGTCTAATTTAATCTTTCTTTTTTAAATTTAATCTTTTTTTTTGACATACTATTAATGTAAAATGTACAACCATAAAACTTAAAAAAATTAAGAGAAATTCTTTGGAACCTAGCGGTAGGTTAAGCGTTCTTGGCCACGATACCGAAAACACAATCTATAAAAGTAAAAAAAAATTGACTTCATCAAAATTAAAATCTTTGACACTGTGAGATACTTGTTTAAGAGAGGATTAAAGGCAACCTTCCAATGTAGAGAAAATATTTGTAAATTACATATCCAACAAAGGTCTTATATCTAGAAGAAATAATAAAACTCTTCAATCTACTAAAAACAAACACACAAACAAAACCAAACAATCTAATTAGAAAAAGAATGGACATTTCACCAGAGAGGAAATATGGATGGAAAATAAGCACATGAAAATATTTTTAACACAATTACCCATGAAGAGAATGCAAATCAAAACTACAATGGGCTATCACTGTGAACATGTTAGAACAGCTAAGATACAATATAATAATAAAACCAAATGTTGGCAAGTATGTGAAGAAATTGTAATCATACATTATTGGTGGAAGTGAACATCGTACAGACACTGTGGAAAAAGTTTGGGAATTTGACTTAAAAATAAACATGCAGTCATCACATGATGAGAGAAAACATAAAAATTGTGAAAGTTGAATAAGGCTTATGGTCGAGTTACCATTATCAGATTCCTGGTTTTCATGTTGTAAACAATGGAGGAAGCTATCCAACAAGTACGTAGGGCTCTACAAATTATTTTAGCAACTCTTCAGGAGTAGTTTCAAAATAATTAAAAATTTCTGATTCTTTGCTATCACCACCATTTTTATCTGGAAAATCATGAAGATTTGAGAGGATGTCAAGTCCATGTTAGTAGGTGCAACATTTCAAAAATTCTAGTTGACTTGTTTTGATAGTCATCCACCCCAATGGTCTTCTAGAATCATCTTCTAGCACTCTCTAATGAGTAGATTGTTCTGGGCAACAATCCCTTCCCTTCTGCTTCCATGCCTTCCTTCCTTCCCCTCTCCTCATTCCCCCCACCATTTGCCCACAGAATATTTTAAATTTAATTTTTGAAAACTCAACTTAAGGGATTTTTGTTTTTCCTCTTGTTTGTTCAGCATCAGAAGCCATCTTCTTGTAACAACTTTTGAGTCACAAACAATGTCAGGTTCTGCTCTAAGTAGCATTTATTGTTATCGATAAATTTTGGTAACTCTAAAGAGGTGGTGTTATAATTACTCATCACTGAAACTTTACAGTCAAAAGAGTCTAGGCACCCAGGACATAAACAGGCCCTGGATGGAGAGAGCTAAATTTGACTTCAGTGGCCTGATTGCAAAGCTCGTTCTCCTTTTGTACCTCTCTGCCTCTTTCCAAGGAAATTGAAAATATCAGGTACTCATTGTTTCCAGGTGAATACTAGGACTATATTTTGAGATAGGGTCTTTAAAAAGATGATTCAATTAACATGGAGTCTTTGGTGACCCTGAATCCAAAGACCAGTGTTTTTAAAGAAGAAGCGATTAGAATATGCCTCCACATGCATAAGGGATGACCCTGCGTGGACACAACAAGCAGGAAGCCATCTGTAAGCCACAGAGAAGGACTGCTGAGACTTTGGTCTTGGATTAAGAGATTCTGGAACTGTGAGAAAATAAAATTTTTTGTTGTT